ATGACAGTTTAATCATGTGCAAAATATATATTTTTTGTTGAGCAATATTATTTGTTCATTTAAATAAATAATTCAAAATTATTTAAAAACTTCAGAAAAAAATAAGTAGTTCTCTTAATATAAAACAGTATACTCTTGAAGCACTTTTATTTAAATGATAATAATTTCGATTGAAATTTTACACCCACCCATTTGCAGCTCAAAAACGTGATAAAAATTTAACATATTTTATATTTTTTACATTTTTGGGATTTAAAATGTTTTGGAGTGCCGATGTTACGACGGTGCTGGTCTCTAACGCGTTAAAATGCTCAAGATGACATTGTGCAAGTCTAAGTTTGTGGCTGATTTGAATCTCTGTATAGAAGTGATATTCAGGAGTCCTGGTCTGTAAGCGAGTCTCTGGTTTTGCCTTTTTGTCCCTCTTTAAAGGACGATTATATCCCGCGTTTAAAGAAACACTCGTGATGTAGAATGGTTTTTGTTGAATTTAACCGAGATAACTATTCAGCCATTGGTCCCTTGTCACCTCGTAATGGACTAAAGTTCAGAGGTCGGTTCGAGAACTTCGCCAGTTGCTCACAGACCTAGACCCCCGTAAGAACAAAGATTCACTTGCATTTTTTCTGGATTCTTACCGACTAAAAAACCAAGTGACCGTTGCAAATAATTAATTTCTTAACAGGAAGGCGTTCCTGTCGTGGAAATGGAGGCAGATTTCTAGATTTATAATAGTATTTCAAAATATTTTGGAGTATATATGCTTAGTGTTGATTACATTTTTATAATACTTTAATGTAAATACTGCAATATGTATAGAATGTATTATATTATAATTAATGATATTTACTTTTCTCCCCCATCTCTTTTCGCTTTTGGTATATCTTAATCGACTTTTAATGACTATGTCCATAAATTTTCTTGATGCATTTAATCGTTAATATTTAGCTTACGTTAAATTACCAAAGCACGTTTTCGGTCGAATTATAGGAGAAGAGTGCTTACGGAAGTAAAATGAGGCGTAGCTTGGTGAAATTCACATCTGCGCTTTCGCCAAATTTTAGCATCATCAATTTGTAGGTCTGTCTGAGAAATTGAGCCGGACGGAAAACGTTAGTTGTGTATATTTTAAATTACAAAGTTTAATTTTATGTTGGTGAGAAAACTCGTTAAATCAGATATTCTGGTTAAAACTTGCCTTATAAGGCGCTGGTCTGTAGGTGGATAAAAGGATACCTGAAATGAAAGCTAAATGATGGATGGTATTTATCAAGAGTGAGATATTGTGAAATAAAAAAAAACTTTAAGGAATTTTAAAAGTCTTTTCTTAGAGAGAAACAGAGAATTTTTTTTTTAAAAAAAGAATTACTGATTTTGAAAATAAGCCTCATATCTATTTTCTAAATCAATTCTTATTGCTTATATAATTTTAAGATTAAGCTAATTTGGATGGAAACATTAAAAGAATTGTAACAAACTACAAGAGGTTCTTGTTTGGGGGTTCGAGCAAAAATCAGCTATAACAAGTTTTAAACTCAAATTAATTTATCCCTTTACTTAATCAACACAACTAATTTTATGTAGTAATATATCATGTTTCATAATATATTATTTACTTTATATCACAAACTTTAATATTTTTTCAAGACATGAATTATTAACCCGTAAAGGAATTTTTATTATTTAAATATCTTTCTCTGCTATTTCTCACATTTTTCAGTCACTAATAATAAGCCAAATTAATCGTATTTTTTGCTATGTATGTGAAATAAATTTATTACACAAATTTGAATTCAGAAGACAAATAAACTTTAAGGGCGTGCTTATTAGAAAAAATTATCTCCTCCTATTCTTAAAACAAAATTTTAACAGGAGGAAAAACAGTTTGCAATAAAAGCAGTTTGAATTGATAACACATACATATTTGTTTTTATAGAATGCATGCTGGAACAGCTGAATGGATTTTAATGATACTCTACAATAATATAGCTTATACATCAGAATAACACATTGGCTATGATTTATAAAGATTTCGTGTGATATTTCCAAAATACAAGATAATTGTCAAGAAAGTAGAAAAAAATTCGGCAATCTGCAAAAAAGCCCGCGACAGTAAATATCTATATTTTATGTGTGAAGCAAAACTTTGCATTTTGTTTTGTCTACACCGGGCGCCAGGAACTGCGCCGGAGCTTGAACAGGCAGAGTGTGAGGCTGATTACAGTATTAACATAAAATAAATGCAACAAAAAGTAATATTAATGTATTACACTTCCAGATGCAAATTATTTATACTATTTTAAGCGTTCAGTACACAAAATTTGTAACAATGTGCTACTTTTGCTGATCAGAGATCAGTTTAGGAAGGTGTTTTCAAAAATCGAACCACAAAAGAGTTACGGGGAGTTAGATAAAAAAAATTCCTTTTTATTAGCTATTAGATCTACAGATTTAAAATTTAACAAACAGGGTTTTTTTTATTCAGCTGAGATATGCAAAAAGCTTCTTTTCTTTTTTTTTTGGTTAATTTGCAATTCACGTAAAATTAACTCATTAAAAACTTCTTTATCCTTCAATCTGTATTGTTTAATTTTTTCAATTCTCCTGTACGAAGAACGGGTATAACAGCTAGTTATTAATAAAACATCTCAAATGTTGCTGTTCTTTTAACGTTTTTAACTAAAGTAATACTATATTCTGTTAATTATTGATTATCTTGTCCTAAGAAATACTTAATAATATTATACGTAACAAGATATACAAAACGCAGTGTAATTTTCTTTCATTATGAATTATTATTAAAAGTTGATTCGATTACTTATAACATATTCAAAACATGGGGATTATTTCACAAATAAATCGTCTGTAGAGAATTTTCTTTTAGTGAATAACTCTTTTACATTTATTTGGTATCTTAGAAGTAATCTTTACGATCGCAATGGCCTCTTCTTTACATTATACCTATGCAACCCACTTCTTTTGGAATATATTTGCATTGCAATGCAAATAGGAAGATGAATCTTAAACGTTAGATATTTATTAGAAGACTTAACTATTTTCGAATATCTTTTTTGGATGGATATTCAGTTGTTTATATTCATATTAATATATATTTTTAAAATTCGTCTTGGAAATTATTATTTTTCCTACACTATGAATTATCAAAGTATCGCCACTTAATTATTATTATAGGATTGTTTTTCACAGTTCTCTTTCACTAATATATCAATTTGAAGTCATTCAGAAAATTTTAATATATTTATTTTCTTCCGTTTCCTTTTCATTACTTTTAGCAGATAAGTGTAACTTCATTCTGAGAATTCTTCATTCTTTTTTTTTTTTTATTATTACTATTGAAACCATTTCCATATAGGTATTAATCATTTCAATGTAATGCATTTTAGAGTAAGTTGGTAAACTGAAAGATTCCATTCCATTTCTAATTGAAAGCCAACGCTATCCAAATGAGAAAGAAACAGACATGTCCCTCAACGATGAGTTACTTAGACCGTTTGAATTTAATGAAGTTTAATCAATGCAGTTATCGCAGAAAGTCGAAACTTCGTTTTGTATTCTCTGTGGAATGTGAAATGATGCAAAAAGTTCTTTAAATAATGAACTGAGAACTCTCATTCTTTTGTTTGAATTATGTGAATTTTTACTGATTTTTGTCTACACTATTTCCAAGCAAATAAAAGATTCGTGAATAGGAATCTTTTTTTTTTAATTTATGCTTGTGCTTTAACATAATAAATTCGAACTGGTCCTTCTTAATTACAGGACTTTTATTTTCAAGCTTTAAATATATATGAGCTAAATTTTATTTGATTTTAGGATATAATGTACAACGGAATTTCTTAAAGTAAATTTTGTCATTTTTTCTTACAAAAATTTTATTGCTGAAAGCCATGGTATCATTAGTTATATATGTTGCACAATTTTTTTTCTAAAAAGTTTCACTACCGACATTGAGACATTTATCGTTATGTGTAATCAATCTGAAGAAACTAATCTGGTAAAACTACTTGAACGGCGATTCTAGGAATAGTCACACAGCCTGTAATGTTGCTTTCATTCGTGATTGTGGAGAGACACCCACTTTGATTTCAACCTCCACAACCAGCCTTCCATCACCGAGCATACAACACCAACGACCAACTCTTTGACAAGACAGCATCTCTTCAACATACACTGTGTAGGTGTTCATGAATGGCGGACATACTAGTCTTCTATATCAATTCATACAGGATAACAACAAGCACTTCCATTGCCAACTCCGTTGTCAACGCATGTTTGCCTGTCTTCTTGATTTGAACTTGAATAAACTCGATCATGCCGGTCTTCTGCCACTATCTTTCTCTCTCCAGTTTTTGCATTATTTATGTATTTTTTGCATTTTAAAGTACTCTACGACTCATTAGATGTTGTAGTTCTTTTATTATAAAAAAGCATTTTTTTATGAATATTTCTGCAACAACCCATCAACCTACAAAAAAGGAGATAACCTGATGAAGATAAAAAAAATCTGATGTGTTATTATAATTTCTCAAAATAACAAATCCTTAAATGTTTAGCTATCATCGCTTTATATAATGTAAATGATTGTGACGCTCATGTGTGCGAGTTTATACCTTTTACAGTTAAACGCAGTCGCAGTTATGTTATTTGTTATTCATCAATATTTGTGGCTTAACTGTTTTCAGGAAGAAGCCTTTTCATTGCAAAGTATGTAGTCCTTTTTTGCTTAAAGGATTCAAATAAATAAAACTACATTACTGAATTTCAATTTTTGAAGTTATACTTCTTTTTGGGCGTTAGGGAAGAAGGATGAGGGTAAAATTTTACGATGTACGCGCACACCATCACGGATGTGACGCAAAACCGTCACGATGTGACGCACACCGTCACAGATGCGGAAATGCTTTGTTTAGAAATATACAGAACGGGATAGATCAATCCCTCCTTCGAAATTCTTAGAAAAATATTTCTCTTCACTTCCCTGAAGGAGGGACACCCGGGATTGAACCTGGGACCTCTCGATGTGCAGTCGAATGCTCTGTTACTGAGCTAAATCCTCCGTGCCAGCGAGCATTTGCTTTGCGCTGATTTGTGACATCACTACTAGTAGGGAAAGATCATCCTTCGCCTACGGAGCTTCTCTGATGCATTTGTTTGAACACTTTTTGTTATTAAACCAAACATACTTACAGGAAATGAAAAAAAATTAGTAAATTAATCTTTAAATTGTGTTTCTTGTACATAAAACATAAGAGTAAATATTAGTTTACCTATTTAAACAATAATTGCAAGTATATGATTATAGATGTATTTACTACGAACGCATTGCGATGAACATAAACACATTTATTACATAGTGGGCCTGAGGGGACGTTATCACTAAAATTAGAATCCCCTTGTTATTTCTATGAGGTTCGATCTTTCGATGACGTCACGATATTACAGAGATAGAAGAAGGAAATTTTGGGATCACCTACTACTCTGTGTATCGTTGGGATGTACGTGACCATTTACGTCACAGTTGTTCTCCCCGGGGGAGTTAGTTTCGTTTTCCTTTCCCTTTTTTACTACCGCATTTGCAACTACAGACTCCGGACCGATTCAAAGAGATTCCTTTTTCGTTTTCTCACAACCAGGTCCAGTTTTGAGTGGCTGGGTGCCCTGCTTCTATTTTATTTAATTGTTTTAATTATTTTATAATGACCATAACTCGGAGGCTCTTCAGGCGGTTGCTTTAATTTTCTCAGGAACGATTCTTCCCGCCGAGACATTCAATGTGTGGTCTTAGGTGTCAATTAGGTTCAACTCATCTCCAGATACAATCTGCCGAACCCCCATGTTATTGGTTCTATTGTCCCTCTCTGTGCGGGGGTGTTTAAATTTATTTAAATCGTGATTATCTCGAATTTGGCTGATCCGAATTGACTGAAGGTTAGTATCGTTCAACTCTGCTCGTGACCGCCTTTCGTCCTTGGCCCAGCTTGCGCTGCTCGAGATTCTTAGAAATATTTTAATCTTGTCACTCCCAGAGAAGTATAACTTCTTACGTGCGTACATAAATACACACACACACTTTTTTTATTTACTTCACAGAAATTTTTATGTTTACATCTCTCCTTTAATGTATTCCAGAAATATATATATAATTCCTGTAATTTATCTTGTATTATATTTCTAAATTCAATTGTACTTTGCACAAATGTAATAAAAAAGTGTCTTAGCCCTCTTTTCCTCTGTCCCATAAAAATAACTGGCTGAGTTTTAGCAATCTGCTTCTTGTGCTATTCATATTTTCAGGTTGGAGTGTTCAAAAATAACGCACCGAAAATCCATTTTTTTATACCCGGAAAAAGATTTCTTTCCTATTTTACATATTCAAAGGCAGTGCCAAACTATTTATAACGCAATCGGAGATGGTTTATTTTCCCAACTAGTTTATTTACTAGTTTTTTTATACCAATAAAAAATATACTATTTTTATTTTTTTTTTTTAAAAAAAATAGGAGATTTTTAAGAGGTTAAGAAATACAGAGTTCCGAAATGTTTTTAACACTAAGATTTGTATTGTATTTTTTGAAGATTTCTTAGAAAAGCAAGAAAAATCTCTAAATATATTCATTTGTATACATAATAATATATTGATACCCATAATTCTAAGTCAAACATTATATTTAATCAAATAAAAATTTACTAACTTTTAGCAAAAATGAATACTCAAAATGTAAAAGTCATTTTACTGTCGACTTTTATTATATTACATTATCAATCTATGTTTTAATAAATAAATTAGCTTTGATCAGAGCGAAGAAGATTAATTTAATTTACTTCAATATCTACTTGCATCAAAATAATTAATTTTAAGTACTTTTCTTTTATGAATATAAAGCCGACTCTTTAAAATAAATATCTCTCTCAACATAAGTTAAAATATTTTTTTCTTCTTCTGTTAAAACTTTGTATTACTTCCAAAGAATCAATTAACCCTCCTTTTCAAATTTTTAGAGGAATTCGTTTTTTAAACAATGCTATATAAAATAATTAACTTTAATCACTTCCATGAATATTTTAACACTAATTATACATGTTTTCTTATATTTAATTAATGAAAACTAATTAAAAGTTATGAAAGAAACATTTTTACATTAATTAATTTATCATAATTTTGTGAAAAAATAAAATTGTATTTTCACTAATAGTATTTTTATAAAACAACTTCCTTCCTAAAAGGGATTATAAACTGATTGTAACTCATACGCTTGTATTTATTAAAGTTTTGAAAAAAAGGAAGAAAGTAAAGAAAACAGATGATTGTATTAATTCCTATAATGCTCGAAATATACTTAGAGATTTAATAAATAGGAAACAAAAATCCAGTGATTAATATTTTCCCTTATTGTTCTTAACAATTTCTGTTTTTGAAATGAATCATGCAATATATTTTACAATTTTCTTATGTTATTTTCCCCTTTAAATACTTGAACGATTCTTAGGTATGTTGCTCTTGCATTTATACAGTTAGAAAATGTATCCACTATGTTCTACATATTTCGTAAAATATCAAAATAATTTATTTTTTGCGTAAAATGTTGCTTTTTGTATATATATATATATATATATATATATATATATATATATATATATATATAGTTCTATTTAGTTTATTTTTAAAAATTTTTAAGCGCTTATTTTAATTGCAATGTATCTATTAGTATATTCATCCAAGTATATTTACTTTGTAATATATTTTTATTTGATATTATCTATTCTTAACTTTGTTCACTATTTTATTTTAAACGTCCTTTATTTAGTTTATTTTTAAAAAATCTTTGTGGTTTGTTTAATTGCAAAATAATTATCCAGGTGGCACCACGGTTTTTTCCTTTTTGTATAGTCATTTCAATCATTTACGTCATTTCGCATGGGATCTTATCGTAGAAGGTTAAATTTTCGATTTCCTGTTTTTATTTTACATGTAAGTTTTTATCCTAATTTTTTCTATTTAAAATTTTTTTTTATTATTCCTCTCCATTATTGTTCTCTTTTCTTAATTTCATTTTAATATATTATCAGGTTTTTCTTCCACGTGTTGTATTAAACTTAACTTTCCACTTTGGGTGTTATTTTTTCCCTATTATGTCGAAACTTTCTGCTGTACGGGGAAGGTTGGATCTATAAAGCATTGCTAACCCTAATTCACTGGCATAATTCAGTGACAGCTTTAGAAATCATAATAGGTCTCCAGTTTAGTCCAAAGACTTTTTTTGTATCTACATTTGTTGTGTCTGGTGAATTCCAATTTCTTCCTGCTTTAGCACTGTAGGTTCTAGTATTTCTTCACTTTTATTTTATTTTACTATATATATCTTAGAATGCTCTGTAAAAATTATTTTTAATTAAATTCGATAGTTTGCAGTTGCATTTATCAGTTGGTTGATAAAATTGATGATGTCCACGAACAGCCGTTTTTCTTTTCTTCTTGGAAAAAATGGCAATCCACTGAGATACCAATTAATGCATTGAATCCAAAAGATTTTCAGAAACTTTACATTGAATAATATAGTTTATACTTTCGTATAAATGAAAGAAAACCAATTACGTTTGAATCAATACACCAAATCTTGATGTATATTGTTGAAATATTTTTACACTTGTTACCGATAAATTTAAAAAAGTTCTATTGTAGTTATGAAATGGTGGAAAGTAGAGAAAACTAGCAAAGAATTCAAAACTGTAAGGCCAAATTTTAAAGTCTTTTTAAATGTCCCGATTTGAAGAATAATCTGATTTTGTTTTCCATCTTCAAATAGAAATTTTTCATCTTTCCTGATCTTTTATTTAATCAATCAAAAACTAAAAACCACGTACATGAACTGTTCCTCATAGCTCATATGGTGATGTCATTGTTATATTCATAACCCTATTTTTTTTTAAAAAAAACCGTTTTCTCATATACCAGTAATACAAACTCAACACAATAGTTATGTGCACTAGATGAAATGAGATTAAAAGCGAATGACAGTTCTCAAATTTCAACATTTACGACCAAATTTTCAACAATAACTTTGTACTCAATGCTTATTAAAAAGACTAGCAATCATAATGTCCCTTGGTGGTCTATCGAGATTGAGTGTGCAAGGAAGAGGCTTAATGCCTCTAGATGTAGATTTCAAGGTTTAAAAAAAAAATAAATGTTAGAGAATTTTTATATAGAAAAAAAATATCTTGATATAAAAAAAGATTATAATCAAATGCTTATTAATGCAAAATTGAGTCTTGAAGTTTTTTTTGACCATTACGCAAAAATGTGTGGAAGAATTTTTAAACATATGGCTTAAAAAGGATTTCATGAAAAAATTGAAACAACTGGTATTAAACTACCCACAGGAGAAACAACCACTTCTTTAAAATAAAGGGACAAAAAATGCCGTGCTTCAGAAATCTTTCCCTTTTAATTCAGAGGAAAAGATAATAACTTTTTTTAAAGACTTCGTCTTTCCGGCGTACTCTTACCCCTTCCTTTTTTTTACCCTTTTTTTTCCTTTGATGAAGTTAATACAATATTTCTATGCTAAAGCAAATAAACCTGGCCCGATTCTATTTCAAATGAGATTATTAAACAGTTTCACTTAGCATTCCCCTTCTTTTCTCCATAAATTTTTAATATTTGCCATATTTAGGTATTTTTCCGGGGGTTTTGGGAAAACTTGCCCAGGTGATTCTCATCCCCAAAGTTAATGGTTAATTCCCCCATTTGGATAACCGGGGGAAAGCTTATTTCCGGCACTTGAAATGTTTAGAGAAATTTTTTGTCAAAAAGTTTTGCTGGTATTGCCCGTGAGATTTTCCCCATGATCAGTACGGTTTTACCCTATAAGAGTCAAAGAACTCTTACGTTTGAATGAGATATTAAGAGGGGAAAAAGAAGCATTTACACTCAATCTTGATTTCTTGATTAAAAGGGCTTTTGAAAGGAATGGTGGCCTGCATTTAAATCTTTTAAGAAAGGGAAATTTCCCATAAATATTTTTTCACTAGGCGACTTTTAAATGACAGAGGGCCT